GCACCCTAATGGATAAATGAATGAGTGCTAACCCAGTGATGCCATCGTCGGCCCAATGCATCACTCTCCTTGGATGAGCTCCCCACCCGTTTACAGGGCCAAGAGGGCCACAGAAAAATTAGGCAGCCAACATGCGATGATTATGAGGAGGTCTGCTGGGTCTGATCCTCACAACATGAGCTTCTGTAGGTCGAGAGTGGTGGAGAGGCTAAAGGGAGATGTACCGCATTGGGCTAACAAAGCCATCAATAGGGTTAGCACAGCCACATGCTGGCAGATTTGCCGAACATTTTTGTGAAAAGCACGAACGGAGACGTTGCAACTGGAAAATTTTGCAGGCCTTTTTTGTAAAAAAAGGTTGGAAAGTGAAATGTTACAAAGTTGAAAGTTTGACTTTTCTGAGGAATCGAGCACATTTTTTGAAGAAAGTGAGATTTTTTGTAAAAATAATAAAAGTGCACTTTGACCGCCATAATGATTGAGATCGAATTTGAGTACGGAAGAAGAATCCAGGAAGAAAACAGTGGTTGATTTTCCATAAGGTTAGAACATTCCCGAGCTTGGTTGAAGATGCCAGTGATGCAATCGAGCTTCAAGATATTCTGACTGTCCGACAATGTGTTAGATTTTCATGATCTTGAATATTTGCATCAAGGTCGCGTCTCTCCTTCAACAAGAGCCGGAATGAGGTCCGATGGCTGTTAGGAGTGTGCCAATTTTTTCCTGGAGCGAATGGGCCACGGGACGGCTTGGGGAAAGGGTAGGCAGGCGCGGGTCCCAGCCAACCATTTTATTCATTTACAAAGATCTGGAGGGGGGGTAGCGACCCCTCCTTCAGATTTTTCTAGATTCGCATTAGATGGCGTCTACTTTTGGGTTCCCGATTGATGGGGTCCCGACAGCTGTCGTCGGGAAGCTTGAAAGTATTCCTCAGGAATTTTTCTACGCTTATGGAAAGTCAACCAGTAAGGCGCTTGGAATTGGAGAGCGAAGGCATAATACTAGATAGCAGTAGAGTAGCAGTACCAGGTGGGCAGCCGGAGCGTCCAAAGCACAGGACATTGACCAATGCCAAGTTGAAGGAGACATTCAGGTGCCGAAATCTTGAAACTACCGGAGTAAAGCTTCCGATAGTCGAGTTGCAGTGATTCGCATTTGACGGACATGGTGGCAGGAAGGAAGGAGCGTGTATGACTGTGTGTGCACTGGTTGCAGCCTTGGGCGTCACATCACGTGCGGATCTTGCTGCCGAGTGCCACTCGTTACGTGCACGTGACGTCCGACACAGTGACCCGTCCTTTCTCTCGCCAAGTCTCCCCTGGGCCCTCTTCGACGCTACGAAACGGCAAGGCTCACAGGGCCTCTTCACGATGGCAGCGACCACCGTAATTCATATACAGGAACTCTGTGATCACATCGTCGAGTTTCTGGGATCGTCCGATTTGCCAGCCAGCGCTCTGATTTCCCAATCTTTTGCAATCGCTGTGCGGCCCCGTATATTCGGCGATGTGGTAGTTCCAACTCCAGAAAAACCAGCCTGCAAGCTGCTTCTCTCAGTTCTGGAGACGTCCCCTCATCTCACATTGTTGATCCGCCGCCTCCACGTCCGCCTCGAACAGACTGTGCTCACGCGACTGTATGCGCTGCACATGCCGAATCTCCAGGAGCTCACCTTAAGCGGAAATCCTCGTCGCAGGTCCGCTGCAAAGGCCGTTGCGTTTCGAGCGGCGGCGAGCCTTCTCAGTCTGCCGACCATTCACCGTGTTTGCCTGGTCTATTTGTCCTTTCACCACATGTACGATCTTGGTCAGCTTTTCGAGAGATGCACTACAGAGCTGCATCTCCTTGTGCTTGACACCGTTTCTATCCTGTCCCACGGTGGATTACCAGTCTCTCCTCGCCGTATCAGAACAAAATCGCTAAGCCTTCGCAGCGTGGTATCCGACTCGATTAGTCAGGCACCCTTCGCATGGCTCGCTCATCCCATGTGTCCATTCGACCTAACTGGACTCCATGACCTCGATTACGACGGCACTAGCTTATTCTACGATATCTCCAGATTCCCCCTGCTCTCCCGTTCAACACTCAAAAACATCACGATATGTGTGTGAACTTCTCCTTACTCTCTTCCACTATTAATCTGTGTTTCTTCAGCTACTAATTTCTGGGCGTTCGACCGCGGATCCCCTCGTATGTCGTTTGGCGAACTTCCCGCCCTGAGGCACTTGACGCTGAACACCACCTCCGAGTACACGCGGACCAAATTGGGCTCAGTTGCGGCAGCCTTCCGCTCCGACTGTCTCCTACACCTCGTTGTCAACGTAATATGCAGCACCGTCCCGCAGACCCACAGTGGAGATATTGTCGGGGTCGCATTGAGACGCCTGATGGATACTGTAACTCAAGTGGCATTCCCCAGTCTCCGATCCATCGAGCTTAATATGACACCGGAGCTTTTTGAAGCCTCGATCTCTTGGGCCGAGGTAGAGAGGCAGGCACGAGCGACGTTGGTGAACTGGGACATGATCGGCAAGCTCAGGGTCGGGCAGCTCTGTAGGTGTGTCGTATGTTTCATTTTCTACTTCGCTAACTTCTCGCCCTGCCAGAGTCTGACAGGCGCATGTGGAATATTTATAGTTCGGATTCCGAGAATGGTCGGCTTGTTAATGAAGATCGTGTATTGACTCCAAGTAGCGTCGAATGTGTTCTTTAATTCTAGCTCCTTTTCTTTTGAACACAATCATTTATCTCTTTCCTCACTAGTGCGGATGCGCAAATGTGTTCAACATACGGTTGACCTATTGCTAGTGTCGGTGACATCTTGGCCCTCGAATCAGTATGAACCCTTCAAGTATTTCACATCAACACCTTTCTCCTGCTGGAGACGCCCATTGCCATTGTTAGGCCAAGTCCTCGCCGGTGAAGTTTACACAGACGGTCGCCGGTCAGAAGAAAGAAGGAGGGTGTATGGAGATGTATGGCTACTCGCGCGATCGCTAGGAAATCACATCTTCGTTTTGAGGTTTAAAGCAAGACAAGGTAAAGGGAAAACCATCGCCGGACTTTAGCAAGATCAAATTGAAAAAGAATGCACCGAGTTGCATGATGCACCGGTTGGGAGTCGAACCCCGTCTCGCCAATATTCGATGCTTTCCGCTCGCTTTCCCTTATTGGATTGGTGTGTGCGCCGTGCACAACCGGTGCTTCCTGACTGCTTTTTCAAGTTAGGTACGGAGACGATCGTTGGAGATCGGGGTGACGCACTTATATTTGCAAGGCCACACAAGGGAATGGAACCTCACCACATTCGGCTGCGTCGAGTCGTTGGCTGACGATCCAAGTTTTCGACAGATCGTTCTAAAAGCTGACCTTCAATCTGAGAAATTGAAAAAAAAAGGTTATCAATGTGGACTGAGAGCACCGGTGGGAGTTGAACCCCGTCTCACCGTTATTATGATATAACCCGGGGGCTGAAATTGGGCGGTGGGCATACCGTATGCTACCGGTGCATGGTGACTACGCATTGGATGGTTCTGGATGCTGTTTACGGTGTTCATGGGTGATTGAGGTGTTGAGATATTGTGGGATTTGCGTATGGAAGGGACCGGAATTCAGACGAGTAGTCGAAACAATGAACATCCAGACCTCGAGGTTAGTTGAGTGGAATCTAGGAGGAGGAGGTGAGCACGGTACGGATACGAACTTGGAAAAAGAAGAAAAACGACGGCACGTTGGGAGAAGCATGCACCGGCGGGGAGTCGAACCCCGTTTCACCGATGATAACTGCCCAGCCTCTCTTCTCTTCCATTGGATTGGGGTGTGCGCCGTGCACGACCAGTGCCTTTTGCTTCTGCAGTCACCGTCAACACAACACCGTCATTCAAGGAGTCTGCGACGCACATTGTAACATTGCAACGACACACAAGGAAATGGAGTTATCGACACGTTCCCTGCGTCGACTGCTGGTACGAGGTAAGTAATCACCGCAAAGAATATTGAACGGAGAAAAGAAAGCCAATACCTTGATTAGTGCGCCGCTGGGGAGTCGAACCCCGTTGCACCGTTATTTTCGAAGAATATGGAGTGACCATTTAGACGGTGAACATGCCGTATGCGACCGGTGCTTTGTGACTAGGGATTTGATGTTGGTGAGGACGATACGATGTTGAGTCCGTGTTGATGAGTGATCGAGGTATCAGGTGCGATTTTTGGGTGACGAATTCAGACAAATACTCGGGTGTAAAAGATTCGGGTTCGACGGGCGATCAACGGCCCGATGCGAGGAAAATAGGTTGAAGTGTGATGAACTGGAGTCGCTGGCAGAGCGACAGGAAGGTAAGAAGAAAGAAAATGAATACCTTTTCGCATGTACTGAAATCCCTTAGCACCAGATAAGAGTTCTTTCACCGAACAGCCTTACGATGAGAGCGGATCATTCACCGAAGCAAGATGAGAGTAATCGTCAACTTGCGGCTGCGAACCTAACGAACAGAGTAAGTATTATACGTTACCAAGCAGTTAGTCGTGCAATAGAAGCCTAATGAGTGCGTGGCTTCACTGAGGTCCACACACAATTCAAGGCGACAGATGTCTTAGCGGGTAGTGCGAGTTGCAGCACGTAGTTGTGGTCAAAAGAGGAATATATTCATTTGGATTGAGCCCGGTATATATACTGTATGTACGGAGTATTCTACAAGGTTCTGCAACATTCCGTTGAGTTCCACAATGGTGGTGAACATCCCCGAGATGCCCGAGGCTGAACACCGAGGTATGCCCGAAGATGAACACGGGCCGAGAGTACACGGAGGATAATGCGAAACAAGCACATATCCATCACATCGGGGCATCCGGATATCCAGACCTCGAGGTTAGGTGATTGGAATCCGGGAGAACGTGAGCATGATTACGGACTTCCAAAAAAAAAAAGGGAAGAAAAAACACTGGAGATAGCCTGGAGAGCCATGCGCAGAGGGAAAAAAACGGCGGAACTAGCAATCTAGAGCACCGGCGGGGAGTCGAACCCCGTCCCCCCGAAGGTCATCAATTTGGACGGTGTGCATACCGTATGCTACCGGTGCATTATCAGTAGGGCTTGGAGGTTGGGGAGGACGATACGATTTTACCTCTGTCTCGGTGAGTGATTGAGGGATTTTGGTCGACTTTCGAGTCTGGAAGGGAACGGGATCTGGGGATAAAGCCTTGAGGCGCGTGAGCTTGGAGAATGGAGGCAATAGAGGTGTAGACAGGTGACACAGGGAGGTAGCCGGAGCGTTGAAAGCACCGGACGATGAAGCACGGAACGAAGAAAAAAAATCAGCGAAGCCCCAGCGAATCGAGTAGACTTGCGGGTTGCTTCAGGGAGACATTCAGGCGCGGAAATCCTGGAACTGCAAGAGCAAAGCAAGCCGAGCTGCAGCGGTTCGGATTTGAGAGACATGGTGGCAGGACGGAAGGAGCGTGTTGGCTCTCTGTGGCTGGAGCTTTGCGTGTCACGGTGAATCACATCACGTCGTCCCTTGGCTCTTGATGCGCTCGCTGCCTGAGCGCTGTGTCTCTCGTTCCCCTCCTCCTCCTCTCCCAGCACCATGCCCACATTCAAGGTCGTAGTAATCGGCGCCTCGGGCGTCGGAAAGACCAGTCTCCGTGGCCAAGTACGTCTCCTATCCTCCTTGCTAAAATCACCCTAATAATCTCATCTTTCCAGTACATCTCCTCCCGCTTCTCCTCCTCCTACCGCGCCACAATCGGCGCCGACTTCGTCACCAAGACCCTCCTGCCCCTCACACCCGGTGGGGAGGCGGTGGTGCTGCAGATCTGGGACACAGCGGGCCAAGAACGCTTCTCCTCGCTCGCCTCCGCGTTCTTCCGCGGCGCGGACGCGGCGGTGCTGATGTACGACGTGACGGCGCCGGAGACGCTGCACGCTTTGCGCCGCTGGTGGGCCGAGTTCCGCGACAAGGCGCCCGTGGCGGACGAGGACGTGGGCCGCTTTTGTGTGGTGGTGGTGGTGGAATAAGGTCGATTTGTTGGAGGACTAGGGCGAGGAGGAGGATATGGTGAGTCGGCCGCAGGGTGCAAGATTCGTAAGGCAGCTTGTGCCGCGCCCAGGGAAGCTTCTGCCCGAGGTGCCGCCGTCGAACGAGGATGAAACGGACGACGAGCGTCGAATCTTACTGCCCGCGCGCACCCACGCAGTGTACCCGCACCCATATCCACAGCAAGACATCCGCCAGTCTCCTTCTACCTCACACTTGTGTTACTTTTCCCTGCTCCTAGGAGAGTCAATGGCTTCCCTGGCCGGTGCCGTTCCCGTTCCCATTCCCCTTCTGCCTCCCGTCCTTCCTCTCCCTCTCCCTCGCGCAAGAACTAGGACACGAACTCAAGTTCCGGGAGACGGCGTCGTAAAGGGGGGAAGATCCAAGCCTCAAGATTAAGCAGCGCTTCACTCAGGCTTCTGCCAGCAACATTCAAGCTCCGTTTCTCCCTCTCCCGCTCTGAAGGCCTCGCTCTTTTACCAGCAAATCGGCGCAAGATTTCCCGACGTTACAACGTATAATCCCCACGCCTTCGCCGCTGTGCTCCCCTCGTACCTACTGATATCCCGCCTTCGAGTGCAAGACCATCAAGAGCTTTTCTTTCACCCCCAAGTCTCGCCTCCTTCCGGACCGCGGGCGGCTGAACATCCTCATCGATACAGCCACATCTACTGTACTTGTCACCGTCTACTAGGCTAAGCTATCTCCGGGATCTATTTAATTTTCTCCGACTCAAAGCCATCGTTCTTCAAGCCCATACACATCTCTCCTCCTCATTCGATGCCAAGGTGCTTCAACACGGGAGGACGCCGATATAGGTATCCGTCGTTATACTGGTTGCGAAGTAATGTTATCATCTCCGTTTCACTATTGGTGTGCCTGCTGGAACGCTGCGGAATGCAGCGCGGTGCGACTAACATGCCCTACGGCGGCACGTTTTCGACAATCACTGACTCTGACGCGAATCGGCAAGGCACGAGACATGGCGTGCTCACGCAGGAAAATCGGTGGGGAAAAAGCTCCTAGGGACCGCTCTATGCACCGGCGAGAACTCGAACGCCGGTCCGCTGTATACTATGATCAGCTTATTGCATTGTACCAGCGGGTGTGCCGCACACTACCGGTGCTTCCTGGGTCAGCCAGGGTTCTTGCTATATCCCGGTCTTTCTCGGCCAATTGCGGATTCCGAATGATCGCGAGGGTCGGTCCCGGTCAGGTTTTGTAATTGTATGGTATACGCACCGACCCAATGTCACGCTTGCATCTGAACTATGAGACTCCGTGCGGTTTCTCATCTCTGACACCGAGGTTAATGCTCAGTTCGTCTGGTTATTGAGGTGCTTCCAGTTCATTCAACTCTGGTTGCAGCTACTACGGGGGTTTCGAGCCTGATGGTCTGGCGACACTCCGGGGTCTCGTCCTCGTTGAATCCGTCCGGTTCATCGTCAGCAAATCCCCTCGTCAAAGGAGCAAAGTGCAGACCCACCAAGCACCGGTAGCCTGCGGCCTACACCCGAATGAATGGCTCTCAAAGAAGAATTCAAATTGAGGTCGGGGTTCGACGCCCTGCCGGTGCATGAGGTTGGTCCCCGTCATTTTCTTTTTTACTTGTATGGCGGTGAGTCGAGGCAGAAATCGTTCTGACGCGGGCGAGAAAGTGGGCGAGCTCTGTCGCATGCCAAATTCTGGCCCTTCCCCCCGACTGATCGCTAGCTTTACCGCACGGACCACATTGGGGACCACCTGCAAGCCTGATGTTTCTCAGCAGACTGTAATGTTTCTCAGCACAGTGCGATCCCTGATTTCCAAGATTTCGACGTCAACGGGCCCACTCACGGATCTCCCAACTTATCACAACACTCAAACAACACTTCTACATCCCCAAAAATCGAAAATGCGCCAACTCCTCAACGTGTTCATATCTTCGCAAGTCGGCAGCAGCGCTGCCGGGCCTTTTTCGGCCCGTGACGCAAACACAATCAAGCCCTTGAAAGCGATGTACGGTTACATCCTGCTCTTCCAGTTCGGCTGTCAACGAGATCTCCAGGGTGAACCGGGGTTCAACTCCCCGCCGATACTTGACTGACTGACATGTAGCTTTTTCATCCTCACGGCTGTTTGGCAACGAGGACCTAGGTACCCTATTCATGGACAGTGGTTGAACAATCGATTGTTGGTTGGCATGTTGGAAAAACAAAGAACATATTTTCAAGGACATCATTGAGCCCTTGCACAAAACGAGCCTGATTTTTCCCAGGCTATCCCCACCAAGTCCTACCGTCATGCTTAGGATCTGCACGAAAAACTGCACAGGGTTCGGTCACATATCCTCCCTGTAGAGCAATTGGTAAATCTGAATCTATAACATAGGTTTTATCAACTGGCCTGTGTCCATCCATTCCCATCCGCGCATTGACTGAGCGGGAGCTTGAACATGTATTGGCACCACGCCTTGTCCAAGACCAGGTCACAACTGTAAACGAAAGCCATCAACGAGCTAATCCGTGTACGTATACCAATTGGAGGTGGTACCGAGCTGTAACTGTGAGCGAGATAGATGTGTCGGCCCCATCGACGACGTCTTGCTGTAGTAGAGATATCAAACACCGTTTGATAATTGTGTACGATCGTTGAGCTTTACCTGAAAGGTCTCCCCGTTCTTCAACTGTTTGTCCTTGTAGTACCTTCACAAGATGACATAAACCAGCCCAGTCTTTGGATGATATAATGTTGACGCACGCGCACCAGCCGTCGAGCGCGGGAGTCGCCCTCTGGAGGTGAGTCTAGTAGGTGTCAGCTCAGCAGAGATACAGTGGCTGGGAGTCCAGCTTACTATGGGCCCATAGTAATCGCAAACGACGTCCGCTGGATCTCGTGTCAGACAACGTGCCAGTGGGACCAGAGAAGACAAACTTACTCTTTCCATAATCTTGAGCTTCTTCACCTCTCTTGTATTCTAGACGGAAATTAAATCAGGCAGTTGTAATCAGCCTCCGGCGCAATTACTGATTTCGTCCTCGGTGCTCAACTGTGAAAACGGAGCAAGTGTTAGTATAATCGATCCGAGTCAGGATGGGCAAAGACAGACCTTTCCGGGCTGGCTTGTGGCCATGGCCGACGTCGCGACCGCGGTTGCAAGGACAACGAGAGACAGGAAGGAGGCCTTCATAGTGAGTTCAGTTCAACTTTGGAAGGACAAGATTGAGGGATGCTGGTCTTGCCTCACATCGATTTAGTATTTATATCAATGGGATGGCTCCAGTGCGCGGAGCCAAGGAGATACCTGCAGATGCCAGATTGCGATCATCCATTCTACAACCGAACAACTACGACGTTCGGATCAAGTTCTAGTCGAATTCTAGTCGACACTTGACTTCTGGCCTGATTCCGACCTTTAGGCTCCGAAAAGCGGACGAGTAGGACACCAGGCGAGCTGTGAGACGGGAGAACCTTAGTTTACAGAGCGGGGCCAAGGCTACCCCAGTGGTCACGATCATTTAAGCGCTCTTCGACCGCTGTCCTGCAAAGTAATGCAGCAGCGCATGAGAATAATATATAACTGTGCATTCCCGTTTTCACCTATTATATAGAGACTCAGGCGGCCTTTCAAAGGAATTGATGGATGACTCCCACGGTTGAACCCAGACCTGACACACGATACATCGTCTGACTCTGACTGTCATTGCGAAAGGGTGGATTCAGGACTGGAGCGAGAGCGGGGCCGGCGCGTAAAATAGAAGGAAGATACAAGTTACGATGCACCTCGGAAGCGAGCAGGACGTTGGGCTGACATTGAGAATGCTAAACGCGGACCTTGAGGTGTGGATCGAATGGAGAAGCTGCCACGCATGGTGCATTAAGTAGGTCCATAACCTTGGGTCAGTGCTGTTGGACAGCGGAAGCACTGCGAGCTCCGGCTCTTTCGACCTGATTCCAGTGGGGTGGGGTGCCAAGATTGGCTTGGGAGCATCACAAAGTCGTCCTGGAGTTTTGTGCCCTCGAGAAGCGATTGGAGTTGGAAACAAAAAAAAAGTCAAAAGCCAGGGAGTGGCCAGGGAGCGGCCAGGGAGAGGGCAGTGAAGGCGTTGAATATTGAGAAAATTCAATGAAGACGCCAGTTCCATTTCAAGATGTCTCAGCTAGACTCGTAACCAGTCTGCATTTTACGGCAAATCTTTAGTGCAAGCACTATGCCGTAGGCAGACTGGTAAAACAAAGTCGGGTTAAGCAAAGGGCTTAGCCCTCTACCGTCTTCTTCGCTCAAGCTTTTGCCTGTTTCTTCTACCCTTTGGAAAGTTTGGGTACCGTCGTGGGCCTGGCCGCCGGTGCATAACTATTGCCTCTCGATTTTTTTTCTCCGTCGTTACCTTGTCCCTACTGGTTGTCTTCCCTGTGTTCCAATCACCTTACCTCTACTTGTGTATTCCCCGATAAAAGATTAGTATCCTCCACCACCGGGAATCCGTGACATATAATATCGCTCAACCGGCGCACACGGCCTCCCACTTACTCGAGCTCCACTTAGAGCTGTGAAAGTATCGGTCATGTACGGTTACACCCACCCTTCCCCTTCCCCTTTGCCGTGAGATTTATGAGCCGGGGTTCAACTCCCCGCCGGTGCATGGTAAGAGATAGAGAGAGGTCTATACCCTTTTTAATTTTTCGCCAACGTTGAGGTATATCCACACGATACTGGTATTCTCCGACGCCCTGAACTCAAACGCAGTCCTTGAACAGCCTCCCACTTACCCGAGCTCAACTGAAGACGGTGAAAGCATCGGTCGTGTACGGTTACACCCACCCTCCCAATATTGTGGGCCTTTGAGTCCAGATTTCCCCGGGTGAGCATGAGGTTCGATTCCCCGCCGGTGCATACATATTGGCAATGTGAAATATGCTTTTTTCCCCAGTTTGTTCAGCATCTAGGTATTCACACCGCACACAATACTGGTATTCGCAGACGCCGTGAAATCAAAATACAGTCCCTCAACAGCACACAAAGCCTCCCCATTCTCCGAGCTCAAATCGAGACCGTGAAAGCATCGGTGGTGTATGGCTACACCTGCCCTCCATGTACATTGGAAACCGTATCAGGGCGAGCCGGAGTTCAACTCCCTGGCGGTGTATAACAAGATTCTATAATTACCTTTTCCATTTTCCTGCCTGTTTTGCATGAGGAAGGAGCTACTTGTGTATTCCACAATATCTCAATGCGTAGTTGAGCAAACAATTGTCCTCCGCGACGTTGGTTTGTGACGCAAACAGGTTTCCATCGTTTGAACGGTACACAAAGACTCACACTTACGCAGCCTAAATATTACAGCTTGAAAGCATCGGTAGTGTACGGTTACACCCACCCTTCAACTTCAATCGGATATTTTCAAGCAGATTTGCAGCGGTGAGCCGGGGTTCGACTCCCCGCCGGTGCATGACGGGAGCTTCAACTCTTTTTTATCTTTCCGGCTGCTTGACATCAGGAAGGAGTTACTTATGTATTCTACAATATTTCAATGCGTAGTTGATCAAACGATGATCCTCCGCGACGTTGATTTGCGACGCAAACCCATCCTTGTATCGTTTGACCGGTACACAAAGCCTCCCACTTACCTGAGCTCAACTTAGAACGGTGAAAGCACCGGTCGTGTACGGTTACACCCGCCCTTCCAATTTATCCCAATCATCGTTCGGTTTCAGGGCGAGCAGGGGTTCGACTCCCCGCCGGTGCATATCAGGACGTGCATGTTCTTTTCCTCCTCGTCCCGGCTGTTTGAATCCACGACTGCGTGCGGCACGCGTCTCGATCGGCAGGAAGACAGCGGTTCAACAGTGGTTCAACAGACGATTTTTTTTATCCTCCGCGACATCGAGTCCGTGACACAAACGCATTTTGTATCGTTTGAACGGTACACAAAGACTCCACTTACCCGAGCTCAACTGGAGACGTTGAAAGCACCGGTCGTGTACGGTTACACCTCGCCTTCCAGTTTGGGACCAAGATACTGCCACAGATTTCCAGGGCGAGCCGGGGTTCGACTCCCCGCCGGTGCATTGGAAGCCAAAACGCCATCCCTTTTTTTTTCTGGCGTTCCCTTGTCCCTACTGTCTTACCTGCGTTCCAATTACTTTACCTCTCGGCGATCTCGATCTCGCCTTCCAATTCGTCGGTTCGGGCTTCGAAACAAATACACCTCACACAACCCCTCTCCTCCTCTTCCACTTGCTCTTAGATGAATCGCCGGCCCTTTCCCCCGACCTGCAAGACTAGCCGGGACTGGGTATATCCAACCATCAAGATACCGATACCGATACGTAGATAATAAGTATATGCCATCCACCGAACGAACTAAATACCATAAGTAAGCAAATATGCAAACCAAATTCCATCTTTCCATCCTGTGTTGAGTTGAATCCTTCCCCCCGCCCGCAACTCGCGAATAATTAATAGGAATACGGACGCCTCTTCAGCAACACCGCCCCTCCTTAGCGCCCCCACCCCCACTCAACCGCAACCTCTCCTCCGCGCCTCTTCCCCCATTCCCACCCCAATTTGCACCCCCGCTACCTCGTTGTGCGTCGGGATGCTCGCTAAAGCTCGCATCATCAAACCCCATCCGCCCCGCCCTCCACACCTCCCCCTCCCCCAGCCTCCGCGCGACCCACCCAAACACGTCCCCCACCCCGGCGCCAGTGCGCGCGGAGACGCGGAAGTGCGCGGCGCCGGCGGAGTTGGGGAGGGGGAGGTCTGCTTCTGTTAGATACGCGATAGCGGTGCCGTTTGGAAGGGGTGTAGATGCGGGGGTAGAGGCGAAAGGGGGTGGAGCAGAGCTTGCCGCCTTCGCGTCACTGGCTTCGTGTAGACTCAGACTATCAACGCTCCGCCCCGCACCCACACTCGTCACAACCGCCGTCGTCGCCCTTCCCGGCGGCGAGAACGCCGCGAACCCACCAACGCCCTCGGACGAAGAGAAGGACAACGCGCGCGCGCCGAGGGGGAAGTGTTCGGGGTAGGGCAGGGGGCTTAGCGCGCTCGAGGAGGGGCCTCCTTGTGCGGATTTCGAGTTAGAGGTGTCGATCGGCGGGAGTGACGGCAACGACTCCAACGACTCGCGCGACTCGTTCGACGAAGAGTTGGAAGAGTGAGAAGATCGCGAATCCTCATACTTCTTCGGCGTAATCGTCGCCTCCGACGCGCTCCTTGCTGAGAGCGCGCGGCCTGCGTTCGAGGGGAGGCCCAGTCCTAACCCATTTAGCCCTGCCCCGGTCAGGCCGTTGATCCCGTTAAGCGTGTTAAAGCCTTGACTAGGAAAGGCGCCGGGCGGGGCAGGGGCGCGCGAGGCGGAGTCTGTGCGGGTGTGCCTGTTCAGGTGGCCGTTGGCGTGGAGATGTAAATCGCCGGTGGACGCGTTCCTGCGCTCACCCGAAGGCGAAGGAGATCGAGAACGCGAACGAGACGGAGAAAGTGAATGCGAATGAAGATGCTCCTCAGGATGCGCATACGACGACCGATGCGACGAGGGCGCAGAATGCCATAATTCTTCCGCGCCATCGCTGAATACGCTGCTCGAGGGCGTGTGGTAGACCGTGAGCGTGCTCGTCACGGTCGAGGCGCCGCGGGAGTGGTAGCGCGAGCGCGAGGAGGCGCGGGAGGCTGCTGTACCTCCGGGGATAAGAGAAGACTTGAGGTGCGAAGGCGAATGGGAGCCGGGGGAGAAGGAGAGGGCGGAGGGGGTTTTGCGGTGTGCGAGGTGTGGATGGCGGAGGATGGAGATGGGGGAGGGCGGAGACGGGGATGCGGGGCGTGGGTGTGGGTGCGGGCGGGCGGTGAGCTCCGAGGACGCTAGTGCGTCGTCTGCGTCCTCCTCCTCCTCCTCATCCCCATCTTCATTGGATGACAAAGTCAATGGCGCCGGCACCTCAGGCGGCGGCGTATCCGGGCGCGGCACAAGCTGCCTTACGAACCTCGCACCCTGCGCCGGACTCACCACATCCTCCTCCTCACCAATCCCCTCCAGCAGATCCACCTTATTCCCCACCACCACCACACAAAAGCGCCCCACGTCCTCGTCCGCCACGGGCGCCTTGTCGCGGAACTCGGCCCACCACCGGCGCAGCGCGTGCAGCGTCTCCGGCGCCGTCACGTCGTACATCAGCACCGCCGCGTCCGCGCCGCGGAAGAACGCGGAGGCGAGCGAGGAGAAGCGTTCTTGGCCCGCTGTGTCCCAGATCTGCAGCACCACCGCCTCCCCACCGGGGGTTAGAGGGGGGAGGGTCTTGGTGATGAAGTCGGCGCCGATTGTGGCGCGGTAGGAGGAGGAGAAGCGGGAGGAGATGTACTGAGCAAGCCAAATTGGTGAGGGTTTCCGGAGAGGAGGATAGGAGACGTACTTGGCCACGGAGACTGGTCTTTCCGACGCCTGAGGCGCCGATTACTACGACCTTGAATGTGGGCATCGTGCTAGGGTGGGAGGAGAAGGAGGGGAACGGGGGAGACAGCGCACAGGCAGCGAGCGCATCAAGAGCCAAAGGACGACGTGATGTGATTCACCGTGACACCCAAGGCTGCAGCCATACAGAGTCATACACGCTCCTTCCTTCCTGCCACCATGTCCGTCAAATACGAGATTGCGACTTGGCTCCTGCAAGCTCTGATCTGGTGGCTCCTCCCTCCCTGGTTTCCTGGAGCAAACTTCCGCTTTTCGCTGCAAATTCGCCGGGATTTTCTTTTTTTTTTTTTCCATTCCGTGCTTCACTGCGTTTATCAACCTTCGGCGCTTTCAATGCTCCGGCTGCCCCTTCTGAATACCTGTGCCGCCTGTATTCCCATCTCAAGGCTTTCTCTCTGGATTCCATTCTCCTCTGACTCAAATTCTCACCAAGTCGATCACTCATCAACACGGACGTGGAACCTATCCTCCTCAGCAGCATCCGCTCTATGGTACCAAAGCACCGGTCGCATACGGTATGCCCAACGTGCAAATTATCAGGCCGAGGACAATGACGGTGGAACGGGGTTCGACTCCCCACCGGCGCACTAATCCAATTGGCGACTTTTTTTGGGTTTACTAGTACGTTTCTTCAGTGCATATTCTCTGCGGGTGATTACTTACTTGACATCAGCCGTCGACAAAAGGGAATGTGTCGATAGCTCCATTTCTTGTGTGAGCTTGCAATTGTACGTCGCCCACTTCTCGAACGATCGTGTCATGCTGAACAATCTAAAAGCACCGGTTGTGCCCGGCGCACACACCACTCCAATAGGGGAACGCCGATGGAAAAGCATTGAATATTGGTGAGATGGGGTTCGACTCCCCGCCGGTGCATGCATCTCCCAATGTGCTGTCGTTTTTCTTCCGTTTTCCAAGTCCGTATCCGTACCGCGCTCACGTTCTCCCAGATTCCACTCGAGACCTTGAGATCTGGATGTCCCGAGTACTCATCTGAACTCCGGCCCCTTCCATGCTCAAATTCGCCCTCGACATCTGAATCACACATCAACACGGACGCAAACGGTATCCTCTTGTGGACCATCCAATGCGTAGTAAGGATGCATCAGTCGCATACGGTATGCCCACCGCTTAATTGGCTGAACCTTTAGGTTTAGCTACCCTGGACAACTTGGTTTCAGATCCATTTCCTAACATGCGCAAATAGAGAATTCATCATACAAAATTTGTCATCACAATGAAACAGCTCAACAAAAACGAGGAAAAATTTACTGCATCATACAATTTGCCCGGTTGATTCATCTTTATCTTTCACGGCTGGGATAGATCCATGTTACCTCAGTCTGTTCCACAATCCTCAAATCTGTTTGGTTTCTTATGTCATTTCAGCTTCGTGATCGTGCGACTGCATCGGGTTCGGAGTACATATGCCGTTCCGGCTTTTCCGAAATCAATCAACCGTCGAATGAAAGCACCGAGCGGTCTATCATTCAACCTACGCTCGGTCCAAGCAAGTATAGGCTCCAGAGTGTTGTGCTGGCAAAATTTTGTTTCTGAATATATACGGGATTTAAGTACTAGTAAAGCTCTGCTAGGCCTTCGTTGGGCTAGCGCCGAGTGCCCGTCTACTCTCTGTAAGTTGAACTTGAACTCCCGCCAGTACGAGCTCGCAGAAAAAATTGTAGGAAAAGGTCAGTATCTGTCCCGAGCTCGTACTGAGATCAGGTGCCCTGTCAGATATGATTGCTGGGCAACTTCCCTTACAAACCAACGAGAAGTGCAAGAAGGTAAGTTACCGTTGTAGTGTTTGGTCAGGAAAGATCCGGTCTAATAGCTTACACATTATGATCCAGAGTCCATTTTGCACTACTAGCCTCGCTCGTTCAACTCACTATTCAACCAGTACCGGGAAAGCACCGGCCAAATTTCCGGACTAGATTTCTTCGAATTCGTGCAGTATCTTCTGGACTTCTCTCAATGTCATG